TGCTACGTGGTACTAAAGCACCCACTAATAAACGCTCGGTGGATCCGTCGTCTATTCCTCTGCCAAGCCAACGACCACAGGGAAATTTAAACGTGTGTCCGGTTACTTCGTTTCTCACTACAACATGTTCCACCATCCATTTTGGCGACAATCCAGTATTGTCGTGTCCAATTCTTAACGTAGACAACACGCCTAAATTTTTATGCTAAAAAGGAAGATAAATATATAGAGATAATTATGATAAAATGTATTTATTCTATAAAAAATGACTGACTGAAATAGTTAATAAATAGAACTAATTTAATTAAAATTTAAGAGAAGTTAATAATTCTATTTAATACAACATATTAAAAACAGTAATATAAAATATACTTACATGAAATACAAATTCTAATGCTCCCTTCGGTATGGGTACGGGATTGGTTTCGCAGAGCGTGCCGGAAATAGCGATCCAACTATTAGCCGAAGTGGTAGCAGCGCTTGCTTTTCGGCTGGGAAATATTACAACTCGATACGGTAACTTTGTTGTCGGATAATTGTTCGTAAAGCAGAAATAATCGACGGCATTGAGGGTCAGAAGGTGATATAAGAACTGCTCTTTCTCCTCCTCACAACGCAAAAATGCTGATCGTTTATATTGACTCCTAATAAACCATTGAAAGAGATAAGCAACTATAATTATTTTAAAACTCAAAAAAATTAAATCTATTATTAATTACGCACTGTGATTATGGAAGTAATCTAAAAAAATTGTTTGCTTTGAAATAATTAGAATCTTATATTTGTTGTATGCATCAAAAAAATATCCTATAATAATTTTAAAAATACATATTTATAAAATTTTATTTTCTTGCCGCGTATCAATATTATTGCAATATAAAATATAAGGTACAATTTATTTCTGTAGTAATATAATCTTCATGAGTGTCCTGCTTATCAGCCGATAGAAAACAAAATATATGATCAATTTTTTAATATTTTTTTATATACATGTATCGCTTTCATAATCACTGGTATATGGAAAATATATGCACATTATTAGCGTGCATGATTATTATTTAGCTTCATTTAATAATCTATCGAGTATTATATCGCTAAAACTATCGCACCAAAGATGAAAATGACCATATTTATAATCATTTTCGGAACATACCTCAATAAAGCACTATCCGATAATAACGTTTTCAAATGGCGCGACAGCAATTTTTTCTCAAGCGCTAATCGTACCCACGCTCTCGCATATCCAATGTGTGTTTTAATATCAGTCATCGCTTGTACATTACGAATGTCAAAGATTAAGGAATCCGGAAGAGGCCTTAAGTGTTCCGGGCCGATGGTTTTTCTCTCACCGGGAGATTTATGCTTGTCCGTACCCCTCGTAGGCGAAACGTCCGTTTCCAATTGCAAATTAGACAAATCTATCGCAATATATATAATATTTTAGATAACAGACATTTCCCGTTCCAGTCAAGCAAAGAATACGAAAACAAGAACAATATTCTTTTTGGCCAAACAGTCATTCCTTTGATTGTATTCAGTACATACTTTTGCAGCTGTAATAATATGCACATGCAAATCCGATATCATGCTTTATGCAAATTGTCAAAAATACATATGTATATACGCACACGTACACACATAATCGTTATATATAATTTATAAAAAATATCTCATATANCAAGAATATTAAAATAATATGTAATGAAGAAAATATCACTTTATATGATAATAATTTATTATTGAAATATTTATTAATCGAGCACATTTACGAGCTTTACAATACAATTCAAAAAAATGCAATAGGATGCAAAGAAAAGATAAAAATCATCGCTAACACTAAGTTAGTTCGCGTGTGTTCCTTTATTTTACGGCAAGCCAATATCGAGGCTTACCATTCAAATTTTCCTTGATGTAAGAAGCAATTTCAATAATACTTTTGCTTCTCAAAGATGAAACCAAACGGTCCGGTATTCCGAAAAACTTATTAGGCGATTTCTTTGCTAATTACAACATAAGAAGAAATAATAAAAAGAAAGAAAAATTAAACTTAATAACAATAAAGAAAAATAATAAAATTCCGCGTAGGTTTACTTTATTGCTAACTTCACTTTATATTATGCGCTAAAATATCTCTGTACCCAAGTAACACGTGCGACGCAGCGTAAACACGTAATATGAACTATTTTGGTGGATCACTTACAAAACTAATAGTGCAGGATATCTACGTACGAAGAACTAATCTCTACTTTTTATAACACTTTATCTTATTATAAAACGGAGACACGTACAATCGAGTCGTTTCCGCAGCACGGACCACGCTAGCGCTGCATTTCCGCAAAATATTGATATTTAATTTGCAATCAATGAATTACTATTTTCTGTTATATACACGTATTTATATATTTTTATATTATACAAGAGAGATAGGTATAAATACTTTAAAATATATATTAAACCGTAATTTTTTTTGCGCGACATTGAAACATATGCATATCTTACCAGGGGAAAGAAAGTTGACGTCTATAGACTTGGTCGTATCGTTACATTCCTCCGATTCTTGGTACATGGTTAAATGCGACCAAAGAGCGCTTTTGCCCTGCTTGTTTTGCAGCCCGTGGCTCCATACTCGTTCCAATAGATCACAAAGGCTAGCGACTAGAGTATTCTCCTCGACATCGGACAGAGATTCGCCTCCGTGACCAAGCGCGACGGCTTCCGATCCCATTTTCTCCACCAGCATCCTTTTTGTCTTGGATTTACAATCCTTATCGCAAAATAACATACTTATAGCGACTTTGCAATTGTAATAGTTATATATAGATAATAATATTACTACAATGATATTACTACAAAATATATTTAATTAATAAAAATAATTGAAATAAAACATTCAATAATTATATTAAACAATATCTATAAGAGAGAGAGAGAGAGTACCTTGAGCAATTTTTCTACGAACGTCCAATTAGCTTGCGCTATTAAAGCGGGGCTCATGTCCGCTGAGAGTTTAGTTTGAGGTCGAGGCGACTGAGATTCTTGAGGCGTTACAGGCTTTCCATTCGTGTCCATGGATTTCATCTTATATTTCCATTGTGTCTGCCCTCTTCTACTACTGTAGACGAAAAGAGAGACTGATTGACGAAATTTAGATGTATTATTATTAATCCACGAGAGCACACCACGATTTATAAATACATGCTAAAGTACATTTCTAAAAGATTTACAGTAAAAATAGATCAAGTATATAATTCATAAGATTTTCTCTCGAAATAAATTCGGATGTTAGGTTAACCTTGCAAATTAGAGACTTAATGCGCTTTAAGGAAAGCTCCATCATTCTATTCTATTTATAGTAAAAATTGTTTCTTACCGAAGTATACTACACAGGAAGCACAAAATAGGTATAGCAAACATTAATACATTTGGAAATGGAAGATTATATTAATTCAATTAAAAATATATTACGAATAATTATAGCAAACCTTTGAGCTGGCTCTTTATTCAATGCGACGGTATCTAGCAAAGGAAAACTGCGGAAATATGCGGCTCTATGAGGAAGAATCTCCGTAGGCGGATTTGTTTCAAAGTCTACATTGGTTAATCTCTGTTTGAGTATTTGTTGTGTATCTGCGATATTTGTGTAAGGCTCATATCGCATCGATCGTATGATGCTTTCTCCGACTTTCTTTCTAAAATACAGAAAGGACCAAACAGAGATTAAAAAGTTTTCTCTATATCTATAATGTTCCATGATTCATATAATAAATAAAAATCGTTAAAATCTTAAATAAGGAAGACATTATATTTCGTTAAGACTTACTTAAGAACGGAGATTCTTTGGTCGAAAACCTTAATATTGCAATCGAGTTCGCTCCACGTTGACATCACTTTGCTGTCGACGAGAGAGGCAAACATCTGCGTTTCTAGGAATCTCGACAAAAACGGCAGATGTTGCGTAGGCTGATCGGATAAAAACGTGGCTTTGTCGAAAACGTGCATACTATCTCTATTATTTATCCATTCATCTTTGTCCTTCAAAACGTAAGATAATTTATATATATATATTAGTTAATTCTTTTAATACTTACAGTATGGTATACATATGCACACATCTCTCTTAATTTTTTATTTTTCAGAAACATTTTTACATTCTCGTACCTGACTCGGTTGAATAACAAAATGTTCATAACTAGAAAACATTTGTACAAAACGATTTAAAAAAATCTCTCTAACAGCATTATTGAAATCGAGAGTCTCTCGATATTCCTCCTGCGGCGTGAGTATCTTTTCCGTATTATCCTCTATAGGATCAATATCATCTACATTTACTGTAGCCAAAAAATCAAGAATTTAAAAAAATAATTTTTATTATAACATATCTCTAAAGATTAAAAAAGATTTTGCGCGTTACCTGATCTCTTAACAATATCAACTATTCTTTGCAAATTGTCCGATTGCGGCTCCGTTTCCGGTCGATCCCAATCTAGCACGTAGTGTAGAGAATGTTTTCTGCGAGGAAGATGAAAACCAGAACCAGGAAGCGTCAGACTACTAGTCATGATGTCGCCGTTGTAATAATTTATGACCATGTTACCAGTCCTAGTAAAGTTTTTGATCGGTTTAGATGCTAATATCCTGATTTCCATCTCATTGTCAATTAAAGACAAAAATTAACTCACTTTCCTGAATTTGGTACTTTGTACTTGTTCAGAAGCGCTCTAATCTCAGCAATAAATTGCATTTTATGAGGAAACACAGGTAATTCTTCCGGAAATTGACTACTCTGCTTATCTATATCTACATAACAAAGATTCGCCTGTGAACAGGCACAATTAACATTACACTTGGCTAATAGTAAACAATTGTCTTAATTTTTCACTACCAACAGAATACAGTTTTGTGTTCATTAGTTGACAAAATTTAAATATTTAATTTGACATATAGTATTATCATATTATTAACATTGTCTATATTATAAATACGTAATTAACATTGTCTTTAATATTATAATATTTCGTATTATTTTTTTAAATATTATTTGAAGTTTTTCGTTAAATATTTGACACTATAACATGAATAACTTTACAATATATGACATAAACGCAATTGTGTAAAAGAAAAAGGACGTGTCAGCTCGTTTTAGAGATTTATAAAGATTCGTGAGAGATTTCTTACTTATAAAGATTGGTGAGGAACGTCTTTGCCGCGAAGAGGTAAGGCTGTTGGCATAGCAAGGCTATTGATTTAGTCACTAGCAACTTGTCTTTGATAGAATCATAATATCCTAATGCAGCACCAGGTGAATGGGCTGACAATTTAAAGTGACGTGGTAACGATCTCGTGTTATGTCCATCCTGACCCTTCCTCACGCTGAAAAATCGAACCATGCTTTAGAAGTTTCAATACTGATAGTAATACAAGGAGTCATAGAGACAAAAAATATACGGAAAAGTAGACGTACGTGGGAGGCGTGCCGTTCTGACCGCTGCTGAGTTCCGTGATGTGCATCGCTTGTAACGTTTGCATTGCGGCGCATATTTTGCGATTGCGGCACTCCTCGTAGAAAACGAGGCTGAACCCGTACGTTCTATGACCGTCTTCTTTCGTCAGGACGAAGGAGTGGAAGATCGGCTCCACCGAATGTTTTTGGGTGCGAAAGCGCAAACCGCTTGGCAGACAAAGCTATTATCAATGTAATCGATAAGTTACTCCCCTTGACTGCGCGACGCAAATGTTCTCTGAATCTAATTAACAGCAGAGAGCTAAAAACACTTCGAATCTAATATCTTTCCACGACATCGAAATTTATATATTTTAACAATAATTAATTTTATTAACAGCCGAATAAATATATTATATATTAATATTTATATTTATATTAATATCTCAGAGAGCTAAAAATCTAATATCTTTCCACGACATCGAAATTTATATATTTTAACAATAATTAATTTTATTAACAGCCGAATAAATATATTAAATATATTAATTTATATTTATATTAATATCTATAGA